CAGGAGAGAGAAGGGCTCCATTGGGCCTCACTGGGAGGTGGCTAAAGGACGGGTGGCGGCTTAGTGAGGAGCAAGAGCAGAGTCCCTGGGATTAAGGTTCTGGGGCTTCTGGAAACCTTGAGGAGAGGGTGGAAGGGCCTGGGTGGGGCTCCCTCAGCACCCCTCACCTGACTCTGACCTGTGCTGGTCCCCAAGGTGAGGGGAGGGGCTGGAGAGGGGGCTCTGCCTGGCCAAGGAGCTGCAGACCTGCCTCTCGGGGCACATGTGAACCACAGTGCTCTGACAGAAGGACCAACCATGGGTTCTGGGGGTCACAATCACTTAAGTTCTCCTTTCCTGACCCTCCAGGGGCTGTTCTGTTCCCTCACACCTCCCCCTACCCCAGCTTCCTTCTTTCTTTTCTGCCCGGCTCCCTCTAGGGCTCTGAGCTTCCTGGGCGCTTCTGGACACTGCTAACCCCACCTGAATGCCCAGATGTCCAGAGAGGACCCTCCCCAGTGGAGGCCAACAACAGCTTTGACTAGCACCCCCAAAGCAGTGTGTGAGTATGCATGAGTTTCAGGAATTGGTGGTACCAGCCAGTGGGGAGAGTTGGAGAAACAGTAGGAGGCATGTCTCAAAGGCACCTAAGAAGAGGCCCTGTTTCCACTTTGCTGTGTCCCTCAGGAAAGGGGCCCTTGATGTGGCCAGACTTTGGTCCTTGCCAGGAACCACCTCCAGATGTGGCACGCTGCAAATATTAATTACACATTCCCAGGGAGCACCGAGCAGACGGGGTGCAGGGATGGCCAGGGACAAACAAGATGGGCGGGGACTGTGGCACCATCACTGGTTCAGAAATGCCGTTCCTGGCTACCCAGAGAAGTGAGGACACACGGACGCCATCAGTCTGAATCACCATGACTGTCCAGAGAAGCACAGCAGTGGGGAAGGGAGCAGGAGATTTGGGGTTAGGGATCTGAGTCCTAGGGTCCTATTCTCTGTGGATGTAGATCCACGGCTGAGGGGAGGTGCTGCTTCAGAGTAGCTCCTCCAGGCAGGCCCCAGGCCTGCACCTCTAGCTTGATACTTCTCCCTATCCCCACTACTTCTTAAGATTGGCCTATCAGGTCTTCAGGATGGGACTGGCCAGAGCGGACAGTCACTCAGGACCTTGGTTTCCTCATGTGTATGAAAGGACCACAGGAGTAAACAGCAGTAGGCAGTCAGGCGGAGGCCATCATGGAACTGCAGCAGCCAGGGAGATTAACAAAGCTCGAAGCCATTCTTGCCCGTCAGGAGGTGAGGCAGGAGCGGTGGATATGGATTAAGAAAGGCCCCCATAGGTCTAGACTTGGCCTGATACTTCTCAGAGGATGGCCGGTGGACCCAGACATGGTCATCCGAGGTCTCTGTTCCCAGCCCAGCTCTGGTCAGGAAGCCTTCCCTCACCCCAGAGAGAGGATCTTCTTACTTCTTTCTTTAGAAACTCTGCAAGGAAGGTGCTTCACCCAGGTCAGAAACCCACCTCAGGATGACATACCTGATGAGCCACTGATTCTTCCTTATGTCTGACTATAATCTCTCCAGCTTTGCTTGCCCACAAGGTCCCAGAGTTGCTCCCCTTCTACCTGGACACCCAGTCAGAAGTGAGCAGGTCCCCGGCTGTACCCATCAGAGTGACCTGGGCTTCAGAGTGGGGAGACCAGCCATCTCCACATCCTCCCCCATGTACCCCCAGGCACCTATGAATTATTCATCCTGATCAGCCTCATTATGTAAATGAGTTCAGAGCCCAAGCATATGCTCTCTACTCTTCCCCCTCCCTGCCCCCCACAGGACTGGGACAATATGGTGCTGATGGGGGAGGGCAGAGTAGGAGCTTGCGAGACCTTCATCAGTCTCCAGGGGCTCCGGAGGGGGCAGAGTACAGTAGAATCCACACTTTTGTGGCCTGTTCACATCAGGAGTAGGCCAGGGCTTGGGGGGAGGGGGGCTGGGGTACCAGGAGGGGGCATAGCTTAGGAGTATCTGGCTAAGCATGGGGGTAGGGATGACATGCGAGCACCAGGCCACAGCAGGAGCTCCCACTGTGTCCTGGGCCTGGGCTTAGATCAGGAAACATGATAGGGTCTTCGCAGATAGCCCCCACATCCCACCTAGGTGTGCCATGGTTTCTAACCTGTAAGTGAGCCCCAGTCTGCACCTAGCCATGCCCACATGAGGTTGTGGTGAGGTCAAGAGGAAGAAAGTGCCAAGTCAAGGAAAATGCTCCCAAATGCCACTGTCTGCAGTTTCTGGACTCTTGCAGCTGCCAGCTCTTGTGGCACCCAGCTTCTGGGAGTGGGGCAGCCTCTAGGACTGGGGTAGGGGGAGAGGGCAGCCACGCAGGGGAAGAAAGCCAAGGGGGCCCAGATGCCAGGACACCCCAGCTGTAGGGTGTTTGGGGGTAGCACGGAATCAGCTCAGGGAGGCCTGGGGAGGCCACTGGGGAAGGAAGCTGTTGGCTTGGGAGAGCTGGTGCCAGGATCCCCGGGAGTGTCTTCAGTTGGGTCAGGGCTCTGCTGCCAGCATGCCCCTGACCTGTCAGAGCTGAGCATGGGCTGGGCACATGGACCCTTTCATATGCATTTGAAGGAGAGCCATGGTTATTCAGTCAGATTTGGGGCAGGTTGTAGGGGGTGGGGAGGCTGACTGCCTCCCACTCCCGTGGCATTGTCCTTTTCCTCTAGAATTCTTCACCTGCTTCCCTGCCGCCCACCTCACCAGAATGTCCAGTGCCAAGAAGCAGCCCCAGAGCTGTCAGAGGGAAGTAAGAGGTAGCAGTGAGAAAAAACTGGAGCAGGACAGAGAGCTGCTGGAGAGCTGGCAGCCATCGGTAGCAGAGGGATGCCAGGAGGAGCCAGCCAGGAACGCCAGGTCAGCACTTCTCTGCCTGCGGCCAGGCTGGCCACAGCTACCCCAAGCATGGCCCCAGCTTTAGCCCAGCTCCCCACTCCCCCAGGCTCATCCTGCCCACCCTTCCAACCAGAGGGGGAGCAGCACCCTGGGACAGGAGTCAGGAGCCGCAGCCCAAGCCGCAGGTCTGCCAGAGCCGGCTGCATGACTCTGATTATGGCTGGCCAGGTGGGGGTGGGGCAAGATGTGCTCATTGATGAAAGTGTCTGGAATCACTCAACTCCCATCAGAAAGGAAATGACCAACACATCCTAAGAGTGAAAATGATCAGTAAGGGATTCAAATTTCTAGAGAATGGGGTGTATCTATGTCAGCCTATTCACTGCTGTTCTCACCACCTCATCCTCCAGCCAGATCTCCCAGCTACGCCATGGACCAAGAATGAGGATCAGAGAGGGTCCAGGACTCGCCCAGGAGCACACAGTAGGGGTACTGAGCTAGGCTTCAATCTCTGGTTCTCACCAGCCAGGTTTAGACAGAACTGAATCTCATGCATGAAACAAGTGCATTATTTTCTCGCTGACAAACTCTCAGGGTCTGAGTTGCCCATGACTGTAAAATAAACAACGTCCTCACACTAAGAATTCGAAGCACGAAAGATTCTTGACTGGAGATGCATGGCTAACCCCTTATGTGGGGTACATCTTAGGTCACAACACAAAACTTGGAAAGACTTTACATACATTCCAGAGAACTATCATTTCTTCATTAACCTGCATGGCTACACTTGGCAGTGCCCACTTAGAACCTAGTTAGTGCCGGGTGCTATTCCTGAGCATAAATTGACTGTTCCGGAACAGCTTTTCCTACAGCGCCTTCTCTGGAAAGCTCTGCTGGCCTCCAAGTATGGCTGAGTCACTGAGAGTTCACAGGAAGAGTGGGATGGGGGTTACTGCAATTCAAGCCCAGCAATCAGGGCTGGGAGGTTCAGAGAGGTTGGGCCACTAGGGGGAGGACACCCAGCAAACTGGGCTGAGATCTTCATACCTGTATTCCCTCTCCCTGTCATGCTACCACCTTGTTAGCCACCCCTGATCCGTCCATCTGTGTCAGAGGTCCCACATCCACAGCCAGTGTCAACATACTCACTGCCACTCCTATTTCCTGAGTACCTGCTATAAGCCAAGCAGGGGAAAAGGACCAAGGACAAACACCCGCAGTAGCTTCCCCATAGAGGTAACCCCTGCTTATCCCAGTCCTGACCAAGAGGGATGACACGAACAGTGGCATATCTAATCACCGGGCCAAGACCTGGACTCTTGGCTAAACCACCTACGGTAACTCTGTTTACTCTGCTGTTCCTGGGACAACCATCGGCAGGAGAACCCTGTTAATCCCTTGCTCGGCTCTGGTCAGGTGTCCTGGCCCAAGCCTCCAGCAACGAGCTCCCAAAGTCCCACAGGTCCCTAGGAGTCCCCCCAGGCACTCCAAGAGCTCAGCTCTCTGAGCTCTGCACCTCCACATAAAGAGCGACGGCTCAGGAACCTGACAGCGACACATTTTGCAGCCTTCTGGGGGTGACGGATGGCCTGTTCTTCACATCACTATTTCAAACATTAACATAATCTCCGAGGATGAATGTGGTCGCTTGCACCTAATCAATCACCCCTCCTGCCCTGATCCCTCAACTTGCCAAGCACAGGCTTTCAACCAATCTCCTGCTACAGCGCCTTGAGCAGCCAGCACCGCTCTCCACTGTTGTTCGGCCTGGCCATCCCACTCATTGCATGGACAGTCCTCAGCTTCCGTGCACAACCGCATCCTGCACCCTCCAGGGCCTGGCCTCCTGCCTCAGGCACCGCCTCGAACACAGACCTTGCCCACTTAAAAAGCCAAAAGCCCAACATCCCAACATCAGAGCTCACTGGATACTGCTCAGCACCAGGAAGAGCAAGCCAAGACCTGGAGGAGCCACTGCTTTTCTAGTTGTTTCCCTACCTGCCCCATGGGCCCAGCAGTGTTCCACCATGCCAAACCTTCCTCACTCCTTATTTCTGAAGCCCTCCTCCCATTCCCACTTGGAAAAGGGTGTCTGAGCAGAAAGCAAAGGGCACCAGGCTTACCTCACGGAGCTGCTGGACGCCCCCAAAAATCCGCATCACACCATCGATCTCTTGCTCCAGGCGCCGGGCCCAGTGCTGCATCCTGTGTGCAGAGAGGAGAAAGGTGTCAGAAGGGCCCCCACCCCTTGCAGTGCTGGGACAGCCCAGGGCCAACTGACCTGGGGCATGACCAGTAGCAGCCACTCTTTCAGAACCCAATTTGCACTAGAGGAGAAACAGAGGCTAGGAAGCAGAGTGAGCCTAGGATTCCTTTTGAAGTCTAGACCTGGTGGCCCAGGCTCTCCTCACGTACTGTTGGACAGCCGGGGAGGAGAGCAGATTGTAGTTTAAATGCACCGAGGGAGTCCAGCAGCTCCAAGAAGCCTGCAGGGAGACTATTTTTCACTGTGAAGAGCCAGCCCTTGATGTTGCTGCTCTGAACATAGGGACTCTGGACACCAGGGAAGAGGGGGACATGAGTGAGCCACGTGGGGGCTGCTGGATCTCAGAGCCTCCTATCCCCAAGGCGGGTGGGTCCTGAGGAAGGGGAGGGAACAGGAGTCACTGCTGTTACCACCAAGTCATTGTGTAACTAGGGGCAGATGCCTGCCCGCCCCCCCACCTGCGGCCCCCCCCGTAGGCCTCATCTGAGAAGTAGATCTGGAGAACTTGCAGAGGAGACAGCCCTCACCTTTCCAGGACCCAAGCAGACAGATGCTACCCGAAACTCACAGGTACACACCCTGCATGAACTGCCCACCCACAGGTCCAATTCAGACTGCCCCACCCCTTTCTGGGGGCCCAGCGGCCTCATGAGTCTTTCACCTGAGCCAACTGCCTGAGCAGGTCTCCTTCACACTGGTGCTACTATGAACTCACACTAACCCTGTCTGTGTCTGTTTCCTCCTCCAGAAATTGGGAATAATTAGGGCCACCTCGTAGGGTATGAGAAGGACATATGAGAGCAGGTGGTAAAGGGTGTTGCACAGGGATATTTGTGAGTGGACAGGACGGACAGGTGGCTGCATGACCCAGTATTCTCAGCTCACACGCGTGAACAGGAATGGCATCTGGGGAGAGGCTTGGCCCAGGTTCTAACCTGTGACCCTTCCTTCAGACAGTACCAGATCAGGTGAGCAAAATCATACCAGTCCTTGACAAGAGCCAGCCAGAGAGATGTTCTCCACACTTCCAAAGGTGTTCTCTGCTATGACAAAGGGCCTCTGCACTAATGTGTCTGAAAAGGCATCTCAACTTCCTCAGCCCACCAGATGCAGAACAAGGCCCCTCCAGGGAGGACTCATAGGAGGGTTACCACAGAGATTTAAATACACCATGTATTTAAATACATGCTTAAGCACAGCCCACAGGGCAAGATAGGAGTAGGGTGATACCAGCCCCCAGCCTCTAGAGGAGGACCCCAGAAACAATAGCATCCAGGAGATTGCGTCTGGCCCTGGGCCTGCCACCTCCTTTATATTCCCCAGTGCCACTCAGGGCCAGGACTCTGCTAGCTCCCTGAGTCAGAAGAGCTTGAGCTGTCACCCCAGCCCCCTGCCCCACATCCATCTTCAGGCCTGTGGCTGGGGGGCTGGGCCTGTGCCATTGTGTGTGCCCGGGTCGGTTGGCATGGGAACTTGGAGCAGGAGGCGGGCAGATCACTAATTGCAATTTGCCAAGCTGAATGTCAGTACCATGATGGAAAAAAAAATCAACATCAAAAGAAATAGGTATTAGCTTCAGCTTGTTGCTGGCTGAGCCACAGCCTGATGCCCACCTCCATTCCCCATCATAGGGAAAAAACTAACCCCATGCCCAGGAGGAGGCCAAGCTGCAGACCAGGCTACAAAGGGCAATCAGGCATCAGCTGCTAGCCAGGAGGAGGGCAAAGCCCAGCAGAGAATGGAGAGCCTGCTTGGCCCCTGTGCCTGTGTGCCAGGTGCTGATTGCTTGGCCCTGGCTGTGGGTGGACAATGGGGTAGGTGACTGTTTTGTGCTCCTGAGACGGAGCCCGGGGGGGCTAATGTTGAGATGGGTTGCTGCACAGTCCTGTGTCCAGCTAGGTACAAAAATGAGTGAGGTCAAGAAGCTGCTATCCAAAGGGAACCATTAGCTCTGCCCTGGCCCTGACCTCAGCCATTCACTGCTGTAGGGGAAGAATGCCAATCATAATCCTTCCTGGGACTAATATGTACAAGGGCACCCGTTATGTACATGGAGTGGTGCCAGCATGCCACCTGCTCTCTCGCTTCAGTCCTCACAAAGAAGCAAACGTTATCATCCTCAATTTACAGATGAGGAAACTGAGGCACAGGGGCTTTACATGACCAGCCCAAGGTCACCTACACAAGAAGTGGTGAACACAGAACCTGATGCATAGATGTGCTACCGTGGCCAAGGGCCAAGAGTGTACACCTCCTCCCAGCTCTGCATTCAGTATTGTCACTTTAAGAACTTGAAATTGGCCGTAGTGGGAATATTTATACTGCAGAAATCGGCAAATGCTACAAATCACAGTTTTTCTCCCCTGGAAAGTGACTTGTAAACATTTACTAGCACACCACTGATTCGGCCCCAGGCTGTTGACTCTTTCCTACTGTATCTATAGGTCTCTCATTCTAGGATTTCACAGATAAGTAAAAGAAAATTAATTGGAAGAACAGACATGGATGCCAAGTTTTTATTTTGTTCAGACAACACATTATTATTATTACAATAACCATCATTTCATCTAAAAAGACTTTCAACACTAAAAGAATTTTAGAAGAGCCAAATCTCAGGATAAAGTTCAAAATCTCCAAAGACACACATACTCTTTCATTCCCTTCCTCTCTCCCACTCTCATTCATTCTCATACATGTACATGCACACTCACACGCTCACAGGTACACACACACAATCTTCCCACTTCCACTTCCAGGCTAAACAGCTCTAGGCTCTGCTGTAGGCCACAGAGACTGGTCCACCCATGACACATCAGGACACACACATCCTCCTGGGATCTAGGGGTGGCTCTAGCCTTGGTCTGGCACCCTGGGCCTGATGGACAGACCCCAGGCCCCAGCTGCACAATGCCAGGGAAAACAAGTTACTCCAATCATTCACCTAAACCAAACTCAATTAGGAAGACAGTATATGTGTCTCAGTATTAAAAAGAACATGCTAGATAAATCACCACACTGTCACAGAGATGAGATTCTGTGGGTTCCAGGATTTGGCTGGGGTACCAGTGCTGGCTCCAAAGGGTAACACATGGGACTAAGGAAGCCAGGAGTCAACTATGCACCTACAGAGTTCCTGTCTGAAGTCTGGAGAAACCACCCACCAAGCAGAGGCTAATCCTGGCCAGACAGTCATACTACTGGCAGAATGGCATGGGGGCTTTGGAAGTATGGGGGATATATCAGGATTCATGGACCCACTGGGTCAAAGGCAAGCTGACCGACTCTTGTCTGGGCTCCTTTCAGCCTGGGTCCAGGTACCTAGCTCTGCAATACCTCCCTGGTCAGGCAGTGTGCCCATGGGTCACCCTCCCAACAGGGTAGGCCCACCTGCTGCCTCCCTACATCCTTGTGATTTTCCATGCTCTTCATCGAGATGACACTGCTTATCTCCAAGTGTCTCTAAGTGCCAAATTAGCAAGACAGGGAGGAGAGAGAGTGTCTGGAAGAAGGCACGTGCAGTCAGGGGCTGCAGCCCTCAGGATGACTGGCATGAGCAGGAGAGGGAGAGGCTGAGGACAGAGCCTTGTATCCCTGTAACCTCCATCTGCCTGAACCCAGATTGGTGCAGGCACTGGGGCCCCCATTCTATAAGCTAAAAAAACTGAGCCCCTGGCAAGGATGGGTGCAGGGCCACATACTTAGAGAGAAGCCAGACCTGTCCTCCTGGCTCCATGAGCTCCTCAACCCCACCCTTCCAGGACAAGGCAGCTTCTGGACAGTCTTGTGCACCAGTGGCTGGCTGTGTGACCTTGGGGGAGGGGGAGGATTGAGCTCCCTTCAAATCTCAGCATTCTGGTCTGTAAATAGGGGAGATGACTGGCTGAATAGTGTCAATGGCCAAATCCACGAGGCAGCCTTGATGTGTTATACTTACCAGGCACTCCTGGGGGCTAGAAGCCCATCCAATACAGCCCCCAGTGTTCATGAAATCTCCTAGGAATGCCCACATTTGGGGAGAGGGATGTGGAGGGAGGGAGTATGGAAAGGGTTCCCCTAATGGCTGAGAGAGGGCGGGAGTGGGCAAAGGGCAGAGGTATACTCTTCCCAGGCCCAGCAGGCTGAGGGCAGGCTGAAGGCAGCCCAACGGGAGGAAGACCCGAGGTGCTGCAGGACAACAGGCCTTGCTCTCCAGGGCATGCTTCAGAACTAAGGGGAATAAGTGAAAGAAGAGGCCTTGTCACGATCAGGCAAGGGAGCAAGGTCATCCACATGTAGGGTGAGGAGCTGGGGCTGAGGGCCCCCCTTCAGCAGGCAGAACCATCGAGGGGACCAGCTAGAACCTGGGGAGGCCCTGGTCAAACACAGAGCCCGCCCCGGGGACCCTCCAGCTCTGAGCTGCACAGGCTCCCCCAGAGGGGAGGGGCAGGGCAGGAGGAAGGGTAGGAGAAGCCCAGAGAAGGGGAGAGGGGGAGAGGGATGAAGGGAAAAAGGGAAAGAGCCTATGTGCAGATGCAGCAGCACAGATTAAACTGTTGCCAGTTGTTAATTTTATACACAAAGTTGTTGATCAGAATGTGATTTAATTGTACAGTATAATCCAGGCTTTTGGAATAAATTATGCAGAAAACTCATCTATAATTAAACAAATCAAAAAACCAGAGACAGGTGACACTGCAGGCTTACCCTCAGAGGGCATGGGTGGGTGTGGGTGGCTGGACCCTGCAGAAGGGCAAGGAGGGAAGGAGCCAGGATTTGTTCCAGAGCAGACAGGAGCAGGTCCAGGGAGGCCAAGGCCTAGCAGGCATCTCAGTGGGCGTCCTTACCACTGCTCTGGAGGGATTTTCCTATCAAAGCCCAGCTGTAGGCTGCCTCCACCAGGCAGCTACCTGGATAAACCTGGTTCCACCAGAGACCTATGAGCAATCTACTGTCCTCCCAC